AAAATGTTTCTTTTTAACAACAAAAGAAAAAAAAAGAAATCACTGTCTTTAAAGCCACCAGACTCCCTTGATAAAAACAGCAATTTAACCTCGCAGTGCACACAAGTTGCTGATCTGCAATACTCATTTTTTGGTGTCTTTTCCTGACTTCCTGGTGTTACAAATGGTTATTTGAGTTCACACAAAGTATTGCTTTGGCGCACAATTCCAGAAAACAAACGACAGGCAGAGGTAAACCAGCACCTACCCTGCAGGTAAAACTGCTGGTTTTGTCAATGGGGTCTGGTGACTTTGAAGAGAAGGATAAAGTCAACCTTCGACTTAAAGGATCATCTACTGAAAAAAACTCCTGATATTTCCAGGAGGAGCTGTATGTGTGAACGCAGACAGCCACATGTTTTCACCCGGAGTTTTCTCCTGCCAGACCCTTAGTATTTTTTCTGCAGCAAGTCCAAGTGAGCTGATGTGAGAACGCAGCAGGATATTCTCTGGAAAATTCAACTCGAGCCAAATCTTATTTTTCTGCAGTATAAATTAAAGTTATAGCTGTTTATTCCACCATGAAAACATTCCGACACAGAAATGTATTTTTAAGTTTCAGTTTTCTAAGAAACGCTGCATCCTCTCACTGCCGCTCAAACAGACAGAGGGGGAAATCACAGCGCTGAACTCTCCCTGACTCTGCAATAACGTGACACGGACCTGATAAGTCAAAGGGTGACAAACACGAGTTTTATCATGAGCAAGTGTTTCTCTACATCTCTGAAAAGTCCCTATTGCCTTATACCATTTCAATAAAGTAAAGAGTTAAAGGCAGAATTTGGCCTCTGAATTGAAGCTGAGCAGAAATACAGTGTGTAATGAAAATGTAGGAGTTGATTACTTGTTGTTGGTCTTTATGTATATGTTTCTATCCTATATGAATAATAAGTGGTTGATTGTTTTAGACGTTTGGTTTCTGTAGATTGGATTTTTGATAATGTTTTCTTTGGTAAGCTATTTTTTTAATCTATTTAGTCTTGAATAATTAACGATGTTATGTTGTTTGGTCATTAAAGCTGTTTTCATATATGCACTCTGCTCCGGATATTCTCCAGACCCGGCTGTTCACATATAGATAGATAGATAGATTGATACTTTATTGATCCCGAGAAAAATTCAATATGCTCCTCACAGATTTCTCCGGAGAATATCCCGCTGCGTTCTCACGTCAGCTCACTCGGACTTGCTGTGGAAAAAAATGCGAGGGGTCTGGCAGGAGAAACTCCGGGTGAAGTCCGAGTGAAGTCTGTCTGCGTTCACACATGCAGCTCCTCTTGGAAATATTTCAGGAGTTATCAGGAGATTTCAACAAGTGTGAAAGCCCTAATTGACTTATTTTTCCTGCAAAACAGCAGTGGCCAATTGATTGTGTTTCATTTCAGTTTGATTTTGATTTAGCAGACTAAATGTAAATAGCGCTTTTCAAGTGACCCAAGGAGGCTTTAAATGGTGGACGTGCCAAACAAAGACCAAAAACTCAACTGAGACAGGAAAAACAAAAGGAGGGGAGACCGATGGAGAGGCAGAGTTAAGGGAGGTTTGTCGGCTGTGGGGAACAGATGGAGTTTAGGAAGTTTCTTGAATGAGTCCAAAGATGATGCATTGAAAGCCCCGTCTCAATGGGTTCAGAGTCTGGTGTGAGGTATGGACAGGAGGCCAGTGTCTAATGGTGCATTCATGTGGTGTCGGACAAGTCGGAAAAACAAGTTTCTGAGTTGTAAAATGCACAAGAACACCTGCTCAAGTCAGAACAACAACTCGGAAACTCGGAGAAGAATCAGGTGCTCGACTTGACGACTTGACGTCAGAACTGTCATCACGCACACAAAATTCCCGTATTGCACATCAACTTTCTGGACCACCCAAGCAGCACATGAACGCAGCATTAGGGACCAGAGGTTTCGGGGACTTGGTGTGTGGGTTACACGTTACATTTTACCGTCGTGTAAAAGTACTCACAGCATTCACAAAAGTTGCTCCTGCGCCTCCTATTAAAGCTTTCGCTTTCTTCATCGGGGTCTGCAGAATAGAAACAAGACATAATGAAATAAAATAAACCCACAACTTCTCTACCCAACAACAAAAAAGCACTCTGCTAATGAATGAATAACGAACACCAACAGTAAGAGCTCGTTTAGTTGAGATCTGCTGCTTTATAAAAGAGATGCATCACGTTTTCACACCACCAAACATTTAACCACTGAACTCACACATCATGCTGCAGCAGGTTTGTAGTTTCTAATAATAAATTCCTTGCTTGACACATCAGTACCTTCTTGTTAATTACTGCAAGAATGATCTGAACTTACTGAAGTTGCTCTGCAATTATGCAACCGTTTCAGAAATTTTGTTTTCCAAGAAAAATGCTGAAACTGACTTTTTTTTTCAGGAACTCAAATAGGAAGATTTTCTGACTTTCTCATATGGAAGTTATACGAATATTTTGAACTTTTTGACA